TCATATGCCAATGGTACATCATTTTATTAAAAAAAAACCTCTCTCAAGTTGTAACACAATGTGAATTTCAATCCTTTTACCCACATCCTCTCCCACTGATCCATCTGCATATTATGACCTAAATTCTTAGCCTATTTTATCGTGCAATCTTGTTCTTCTTTCATTTCAAATCTCAACAAACGTTTATACATTTTTGCAATCACATGTTCATTATTTGTACATAATTCAGTTTAAAATTCTGTCTTATATTGCTCAGTTCCAATTAATTTTTGTATCTATATTAAATCTTTCTCTTAATTATGTGTATGAAAACCGTTGAAAGCTAAATCCCTCTGCAGTCAATTGCTCTCTTGACTTCCTCTTAAGTTCTGTGTTCCTGTACTAACAAATCTTGATATGTTAACCATTTCTTTTTGCCCACTGTTTCTTTTCTATAAAATGCTTCTTGTGCTGAAACAATAAAGGTATTTTCTGGGTTTGTATCTATTCCATATTCTAAATATGGTCCTTCTCACATAGTGATTTTTAAAATCTACATTAACTTTATCATATTATAAAAAGCCATGTCACCCAAACCTCAAATTATGCTATTCTAATTCTAACATTCTCTTATTTCTCAACAACACCCACTCTTTCATCCAAACGAAACAGGAGGCTGCAAAATACAGTTTAAGATTTGATAGTTGTAGTCTTCTTTCCTTTGCATCTTGGAGAATCTTATATTTAAACCTTGGTTTCTTCCCCTGCCATATAAATCTGGATGTATCTTTTTGCCATTGCTTAAAAGGTACATCATTTTTCAAATTTTTTTGTTTGAAATAAAAACATCGTTCTAGGTAACATTCATTTTTACCACCAAAATTCTTCCAAACGATGATAATTGTAACTTTTCTCATCTTAATAAATCTTCCTTAATTTCACTTCATACCTTGGCATAACTATTCTGAAATAACACATAATTTGTATTAGTATAGTAACGCCAAGGTATTTACTTTTTTCTCAGTCTGAAAACCAGTTTTTACAATCAATTCTTTCTGATCTTCCATCCTCATATTTTTTGTTAACATCTTCATTTTTTTCATTGTTAATTTTAAATCCAGCTAACACAGTAAATTCCTTTAATTTTTCCATTAATATTTCTATTCCTTCCATAGGATTTTCCAAAATTAAAACCAAATCTTCTGCAAATGCCCTTAATTTATATAATTCTTTTTAACTTTCACTCCAGCTATTCTCTCATCTTGTCTTATATCTCTATTCAAATCTTCAAGAGTGAAAATGAACAGCCGTGCCAAAAGTGGACATCCTTGCCTTGTTCCTTTCTGTACTTCACAGGGTTTTGTCAATTCACCATTAACTATAATTTGTGCCATTTGTAAAGTATATATAGATTTCACCCATTTAATAAAATGTTCTCCAAATTCCATATTTTCCAAGATTTTAAATAGGAAAGTCCAGTCCAGTTTAACTCTTTAGTCCCTTTTGACATTCCATACTTCCCTTATCTCTTTATTTAATGAAGTCAACCAATTGTCCTCTTTAGCAG